ACAAATGCACTGGTTTTTTTTGTGATAGTCAAACCTAGGTATTTGATATTCTCATTCCTTGATTCGAAAGATAAATTTCTGCGGAGGTAGGCCATAAGATTCGAGGGAAGCCCTATACCAAGAGCCTGTGTTCTGTTAGTCTTAAGGGTGTAGTAGGACACCAGCCCATAGTTTTCTATTAAACGTATTAGAGATGGCAATGATTGTTGTGGGTGGGTAAGGTACATGAGGGTATTGTTTGCAAATGCACTAACTTTGAGTTATTTCCCTAGTACTGATATACCTTGTATTTCAGTATGATCTCTAATGGAGCACAATAATGTTTCTAAAGCAGGCACATAGAGAAGTGGGGAAAGGGGGGCACCCCTGCCTTGTTCCATGGAAACCTGGAATGTGAAGGAAAGGAAACCAGACTGCTTGATTTGTGCTGAAGGAGAGGAGTACAATGCCAATAACTGTTGAACAGTCAATGAGGGAAGTCTGTATTTGTCCAAAACATTTTTCCAGTAAAGACCAGCCCAAGTGGTCAAACACCTCCCCCACTTGTACCCCTTATCTGTTCTATAGCCGTTGAAAGCTTGCAGGTGTGGTCCAATCCCTGTTTCCCAAGTACAAACCCAGTCTGTTCATCGTTTATTAGTGATGGTAGGATTGTTCCGATTCGATTGGATAGCATTTTGGCGTACATTTTTGCATCAGTGTTAAGAAGTCTAATTGGGCGAAAGTTTTTACATATGTCTGGGGATTTACCCAGTTTTAGAATGGTAACAAAAGTTACCAATAGCATCTTTGGCGGTAAGGTGCCTGTTTCAGTCGCACTATGGAAAACTTGCAGGAGACAAGGAACCAGGACTTCTGCAAATTTTTTATAATATAGGTTAGTGAAACCATCCACTCCGGGTGACTTACCAGGGGGCAGCTGTTTTATGGCAGTTTTTATTTCCGTTAATGAAAAAGGTTGAAGCAAAGTATCTAACCTGTCAGAATTTAGCTTCGGAAGGTTTAACAAAGAGAAGTATGACTCTTATTTTGTGATCAGATGGGGTATGTGTGTGGGCGTCTAGTTCTAAATGATAAAGTTTAGAGTAAAATTGGGCAAATTCTTGGCTAATCTCCTGTGGTCACATATTTTTCCCTCCTATTATGTGGGCTAATTTAAAGTTGGCTATCTTGATTTGAAGTCTATTTGCCAGAACCCTAGTTGCTTTACCAGTGGTATGATATGTCGTGGCCATACTATGAAGATAGTAGTCAGTATGGGTGACATTTAGTTTGGTGAGTTGGTGGCATAGGGAGTTTAACTTAGCAGCTAAGTCAAGGGACGGTGTATCCTTGTTGCAGGAAGTGACTATTGCGATTTGTTTGCAACACGTTAACATTTGATTGAAAGTGAAACCATTTTATTTAATGCAGGCTGTGTGAGCTACAGACAGGGGAGGTGTGGCTAGGGCTGAATGAACATAAATGGTAATCTCCTATGGCCATAAACAATTAAACACTCCCAACCCACTAAAATAACCCCCTCTCCATTAGAACCATAATGAATAAATGACTCAGACAACACGCTGGAGTGAAAAAACTGTCGCTCACTACATTTATATACATTATGGTACCAGGGCATCAAAATCCAGAACAGCCATAGTAGGACTATACAAAATTAACTAAGGTGGCGACTCTCAGAGACTAACTACTCTTCGCAGCCCACAAGAAAATGTGGATCAACCTTATCCAACAGTGGAGCATCCACAGCATCTACCCAAGCAGAGGCAAAAGGACTGCAATGGATGTATTTGGCATGGTTATCCTACCAAGGAACTGTGCCCTAGCACCCCAGACTAGCCACTGCCAGTAAGGGATGGGGGACGCCGCCACCTCACTAACATCACTTCAGTCACCATCTCTGCTACTAACCTGCAAGCTGCACCCTCCGATAGTAGAGGGAAGTCAAAGACATTCTCACTCAGTAGAGCCAAGGAACCACCAGGCCAAATTGTAGGAGTAAATTAACAAACAGGCAACTCCCAGGTCAAGTTCGACTAAACACACCTGGTCGTCAACTACCAAAAAAAAGGTCGGGAGCAAAATAGCTGCAGTACCGGCACCTGTAAGGAAAACAGAATCACATCAGAAAGGGAAAAGGAGGGAAAGCTTTAGAAGAATGAAGAAACCAAAGAGAGAGAACAGGAAACTGAAAGGCCTCATAAAGATAAAAGGAGGGCCCTCCAACAACAAGGAGCAATTTTGTAATTCATGGCAATTCATTCCTGGCTAAGGAGAAGCCCCCTTAATTTTAGGAATTTCAGGAAGAGAAAGTTGATTAACAAAAATAGAGAAATATATGCACTTTATATCACAATACAACACAACATTTATAATTTACATTGTGTAGATTTTTTTTTGTTTTTTTTACACTGAATAGGATGGTACACTGTCCACTTCTACACTGATTTTGTTGACCCAGTGAGTGAGAATGACCCCCTATTAAATAGGACTGAGGAGAGAGTGTTGGATGTAGGATTAACAATACTGAAGGCAAGACTGAGCCTAATTTTTTTACAAACTGTTCTCTGCACAATTAAGAAAGGCATAATTAAGAAGGGATTGAGGGACATGCATGGGATAAGGTTGAATGAGGAGCGACATGGAGGCGACATGGAGTATGGCATGATAACAGAGGATAGGTATGGAATGATCAATGGAATTTAAATTAAATATATACATGGCTCATCAAATGTAGAAAATGATCCATGGTGAGTGTGATTAGAAAACAGAGAGGTGATGAAGGGAGATGGTGCTCAAACAAAATTGAAGGGGATAAATAATACAAAACAAATGTAAAACTGTAGAGCTGTTAATAAATAAAGCTGGAGGGTACTGAAAAGGTACTGGATGTGATTACGTGGAGGATATTGTTATAGTGGAAGAGATATACAGATAAAAGTTTCTCAGAGAAAAACTATGAATTTTGTGTATATCTAGACAGTGTAGAGAAATGAAAGAGATGGAGTGATGATGCAGATATAGGAGTAAAAATAAAGAAACAAGAATGGTGTTAAAGGTAGGGAACTGTAAAGGGTTGAGGGCTGTGAAGTTTAGACAAATAAAGAAAACTGGGCAGAGATAATGGATAACATTTTCATTAAACTTGAGAACACCGGGACAAGGGTCTGTTGCATTGTTTTTGAGAAACTCAGTCCCCTGGAGTTGTCACACTGTGTCTCAAAGTAAGACATATTTTACTTCTTACCATTATACTTTATCAGAGCAGACCAACACATCAATAAAAATCACAATGAATTTTGAATATGTTCATAGGGTTGAACACCAATAGAACTAGTAAAAAATAAATTTCTTCAAATATGAAGTTCTCAATGTTCAACTACCTTACTCATCTAATTTGCCACCTCTTGACTTTAAATGGTGTATTGTCTCTCTATTCATAAAATACAACAAATAAGGTGGGAAGTGCTTAAACAGAATAAATGATAAAATACTTATATCTGAATTCTCCAGTGGAATGCAGGAAATACAGCTCTATATAGGAGATATGAAATGGGATACTCGCATAGAGTAATACTGTTATAAAGCATATAATTGTAGCAAGATCCACTCAGAACTACTCATATTTACCAGAGCCATTTATAGCAGCCTCCGGCTGTTTAGGTGTATAGGTAAAATGTGTCCAACACGTATGGCTACCAAGCAGACCCGGGTAAGGAATCTCCAGGATGCAACAGATGAAAAAACAGGACACTTTATTTAACAAGAAGGATAAAACACACCGCGTTTCGACATAGATTGTCTTTCTCAAGTGTATAACTAATCAAAAATATAGCACAAACAAGCCTCTCTTTTATCACTTTACACAACACAACAAGCCTCTCTTTTATCACTTTAAATACTTCGGAGGGTTAGCAGTCTAGAGTCATCTCCTGTTTTATAGAGTCTAAAATATAAGAAAAGGGGCCAACACTCCAATATTTCTTCTCCAGTGACGCGCATTCCAATTTATTGGGTAACAGCACACATAAGGATAAGGTCATCCCCTTCTGATCTATATATATGTTTTTAAATTGTGTATCACTTTAACTAATTTGCACATATGCACTTTTCATCCATAGTTGTTTGCATTAATGTTTTTATGTAATTGTTATATTTAATGCATGTGGTCAATTTGAATGTCTGTGGTTACTTTAATGGATTTCCGAAGCTGTACTGCGACTCCCCTTCCTGTATTAATTGCTGATACACCTATTTATTGCACTGCTGTATTGATTCACTTATTGCTAGGGAAAAAACCTTATATGGGTCTAAATGATGCTCATGCATGCTGATCACTCAAAAATAATCACTGGACTATCGAACCCCTTTCTTTTGTTTTGGACTTCTGGATGGTTTAGGTGAGACAAGGTTTAATTCTGCACCCTCTGTCTAAAGTAATAATATATATATATATATTTTTTTTTGCATGGATCTTTTATTGTGTGCTGTCTTTCGTTTTTTTTGTGTGATGTTTTATACAGTGGAACAGCTTAATCAAATGGTGCAGTAGAACAGAATGAGTTCAATGTGTTAGCTAAACATTAAACACTATGCAGATATAATACAAACACAATAGATGGAGCATATACTTTTTCCTCTTTTCTCAATATGATGCTGTGGAGATAGAGAGGTATACAAAATAGTGCAGATAACTTAACAATAAATGTATAAGAATAGCATATACAAGGAAACAGTCACAAAATCAGAGCCTCTGGTATTGCTGACTCCAGGATCTATTACAGGGTGATCCTAACCCTTCTGTGGATGGTTGGTGTGTCCAATGGAAGTTGGTTCCCAATAAATTGCTGAGGATCCAATGGATGGAATAATTAAAACTAGATTTATTAGGTACTATAATATAAAAAATATATAAAACAATGGAAAGATAAAGTATCAATCTGGCCAATACGCGTTTCGCCTCTTGTGGCTTCCTTAGTTCTAAACAAAGTCCATGTCCATTATAAATGCTTGTGCAAATTGAAATTCACGGGTAATTTCTTCTTGGAACGCATTGATGCGTTCCATTCATCGATTTGCATATATTTCCTGTTTCCGGTCGTGTTTGGTGTTCCAATGTCACTTCCGGGTTTCTTAGTATAGTTGCGAGTGGAACGCATAGTGCGTTCCATTCTAAGTGTCTTCCTGATTCCGGTGTGTGTGTCCTCAGTCTCTAGTTTGCATTCGCAAGTGGAACGCATTCGTGCGTTCCACATCTTCTTTACTTCCTGGTGCTCGATCTTATTCTGGACACGTGCCGTTTTTCGTGAAAAGAGGAACAGATATAATGAGAGATACTATATATAATATAATAGAGTATAGGCTCATTATATGGATAAAAATATAAGGCAAATGGAAACTTAATATATAGTTTTAAAATATTATTTCAACATTCTTTAGAATCATAATATAAATTATATCATTTGAATTAACAGTATAAGTAGAACAGTCTTAAAAATAGCAATACCAATTATATTATTTAAAGTGACAATATAAATATATATTAACAACCTTTAAAGTGACAGTACAAATTAAGTGGAATTGTTAGATATCTCTACAAACTTTTAAAGTGACCGTGCACATTTTGTACAATTGGTGGTATCTTAATTAGTATACCATAATCCACAAAGAAAAAAACGGGGGAAGGGTACATATCTAATAGCCCAATGAAGAAAAACAACAAGTTGATTAAAAGTGGTTGGATCTGACGTATTTTGTAATATCTGTCTACTTATAGAGGGGAGTGGGATTTCAAGCTCAAAAGTAATGTTTAATACAAACTGATCAAGAGGAGGGAGAGAAGAAGAGAGGAAAAAAAAAAAGAAAAAAATATTAATTATTTCTCAACTAGTTAAAAATGGAGTTATAAAAAATATAAAAAAATAGTTTACATTGAAAGATTGCATTGTTAAAATGTAAAAACAACTGCCAATTATGGGGGGAAAAAAACGAATCAATTAAATGTGTAAACGTATAAAAAAATGACATAGCTCAAAATCTTGATTGAGGCCATGTGGAATTAATGTTTTAAAATTGTAGATACATTTCATCTCTTCTCCTATTTTTTTTGTTAAAATCTCCCCCCCTCCAATCCTTTTGTACTACTTTTATTGCACAAAAAAAACATATTTTTGGGGTCTTTATTGAGATGAATTTTAAAATGGTTTGAAACGCTATGTGTTTCTAAACCTTTTTTTGATGTTCCTTATATGTTCCGCAATTCTTATGTGTGAACATCTAATAGTTCTTCCCACATATATAAGGTCACAAGGGCATTTAAGGATGTAAATTACATTTTTAGAGAAACACGTTAGCTAGTTTTTAATCGTAAATATTTTCTCTTTCTGATAGCGGAAAGAAGTGATTTGTCTTTTCTTCTGATTAGTTTCCCTACAAGCTAGACAGGATCCGCATCCATAAAAACCTTTATTTTTATTTAGAAAGTGTTCGGTTTGTTTAGTAGTAAAGCTACTTTTAAACACCATCTGTTTCAAATTTTTGCATCCTCTATAAACTATCATCGGTTTAGGGGGTAGAATCTGTTTTAAGATAGGATCTTCTTGTAAAATTGGCCAATATTTATGAATAATTTTCCTTATTTTCATGTTGTTCCCACTATGATTGCATATAAAGGGAATCTTTGATAGGCTATCGTTTTTTAAATCTTTTTTCTTTCTTGATATATTCCCTTTATGTCTAATAAGTTAATTTCTCTTTAGCATCTTTACTTCTTCCATACATGTTGTTAGTTCAATTGGTCCACAAATTGTTCTTTAATTCTTTTTGCTTGTATTACATAGTCACTATCTTGTGTGCAATTTTGTCTTATTCTTAAAAATTGGCTTTTAGGAGCATTATCTAACCAGGGAGTATAATGGCAGCTTTTTTTCTCAATATAGCTATTCGCATCCACTTCTTTAAAATGATTCATTTTGTGTACTTTTGATTCTGAGATGAAGATTTCCAGATCTAGAAAATTAATCTGATTATTGCTATATGTGGATGTTAAAATAATACCCTACTCATTTTGATTTAAAATGTCTAAAAAATTGTTAAGATGTGTCTCACCATCTTTCCATATAAAAAAAATATCGTCAATATAACGGCAGTAGGACACCAAGCTCGCAGCTTGTATATTTTGTGTTATGACTAATTCTTCCCAATATGCAATTCGCATAGCTTGGTGTGAACTTGGTGCCCATTGCCGTACCTGTAGTTTGTAAGAAAAAAGAATCCTTGAACCAAAAATAATTGTTTGTTAAAATTAATAAAATACCTTCTACAATAAAATCTATCTGTATTTCTTTAAAATCAGATTTTAAAAAAAAAAAATATTTTATTGCCTCTATTCCCAAATGATGAGGTATAATGCTGTACAAACATCGCATGTAACCAACAGGTAATTTTCTTGCCATTCGATTTCTTCTAGGGTTTGTAGCATATGAATAGTGTCTTTTAGATAGGAAGGATTTTTTATAACTATTGGTTGTAATAATCTATCTATATATTCTGAAACCCTTGAAGAAATTGAATCTATGCCTGAAATGATTGGTCTCCCTGGGGGGTTATTTTTATTTTTATGAACTTTAGGTAAATAATAGAAAACCGGTGTTTTGGGGTGTGTAATTGATAGATATTTCTTTTCATCTTTGGTTAGAATTCCTAATGTAACTCCTTTTGTAATATAACTTTTCAATTTTTCTTGTATATCCAAACTTGGATTCGTATTTATTTTTTTATATGTATTAGTATCCAATAGGATTCTTTCTGCTTCTTGTATATAACTATCGGTTTTTAATGCTACAACTCCTCCACCTTTATCTGCAGGCTTAATTATAATGCTTTCATCATTCCTTAGATTCTTAACAGCTTTAAATTCTGGCATAGTGAGATTTTTTTGGAATTTATTTAATTTTTTGATCTTTTGTTCGTCTCTTATTAGCATTTTTTCAAAGGTTTTCATATCATCGGAAATCATGAATTTGGGAAAAAAAATGGGATTTAGATTTTAATTCTGTTTGTATGTATTCTGATTCTTTTTCGATAATGTTATTGGATTGTTTATTAAAAATTTTTTTTTCAAAGATAGTTGTCTAATAAATTTGTTAATATCAATAAAAAAGTCAAATTCGTTAAAATCTGAGGTGGGAGCAAATTTTAAGCCCTTCTTTAAAATATTAGTTTGTTCTTCTTTTAATGGAGATCCTGTCAGATTAAAAATCCCTTCTGTGTTTAATTTCTGCCCCTCTTTTCTCTGCCCCGTGTTCCTTCTTCTTTTTCTTCTATTTCCCCTTCTTCTGATAATCTCGATCGTTTCCCTGGTGTTTCCCCTATCTTTTGAAACCGTCTGCGATGGTGTTGAATTAGGTCTTGTCGAAAAAAAGTATCCTGATCTTGATTTTCTAGGCTTTTGAATCTATTTATCAAAGGTATTTCATTGGGATTGGTGAAGTGTGGGTATTTCTTTTCAACTCTGGATATCTGTTTATATTCTGTTTGTTGGTGATTTTTTCTTGGATACCTGACTACCTCACTATAAGTTCTATTGTAATTTTGATTATCTCCTTTTGGTCTTTCTTCTCTAGTAGTTCGCGATCTATTTATTTCTACAGGTCTACCATAATTTTTATTTTTGGGGATTTGTTGCGGTTCATAAGAACTATTTCTTTGTCTTCCTTTCCCATAGAAAGGTTGGTTAAGATGTGGCCTTTGGGTCTTATTCTCTTTATTGTTTTTTCTTACATTTCCTGATTTGTAGTCATTTATATCTCTTAAATATTTATTTTTCTTAATCCCTATAACATCTTTTTCCACTTTTTCTACTCTTTTAGTGATTTCTGTAAAGGTTGTGTTAAATATTTCTGGATTGGTGGTATTGCTTAACTTATCTTTCCGTGTTTTAATATCAGCATCAATATTTTGTAGATGTTCTTCTCATCTAGATACAATGTACCCCATTGCACTAAATGAGAATCCATCTAACATTTTGTTCCATCCTTCCATAAAGTAAGGATCCTCTCTATCAAAGGCTAGTCACCTTGGGGGGGGAATTTACTTAGGGCCCCCACCCACAGCCCAGGGGTGGGGGCCGGGGGGGGGAGGACAGTAGGTCCCCCCGTCATTATCTTTATGGCCCCCACCCGCCGCCCAGGGGTGGCGGCCGGAGGGGGGTGGACAGTAGGTCCCCCTCCCTCATTATCAATATGGCCCCCACCCGCCGAGCAGGGGTGGGGGCCGAGAGGGCAGTAGGCCCCCCCCTCATTATCAATTTGGCCCCCACCCGCCACGCAGGGTTGGGGCCGGAGGGGGGCAGTAGGTCCCCCCCCTCATTATCAATATGGCCCCCACCAGCAGCGCAGGGGTTGGGGCCGGGGGCGGCATTAGGTCCCCTCCCTCATTATCAATATGGCCCTCACCCGCCGTGCTGGGGTGGGGGCGGGGGGGGCAATAGGTCCATTTTAGGGCCCCCACCCACCGCTCAGGGGTGGGGGCTGGGGGGGGACAATAGGTCCCCCCCTTATTGTTCATTTTAGGGCCCCCACCCACCGCTCAGGGGTGGGGGCTGGGGGGACAATAGGTCCCCCCCTATTAGTATTTAGGGCCCACACCGGGGGGGGACCCTTTTTATTTTAAACAGTGAGCAGCCACAGGCTGCTCACTGTTTAATAGACATGCCCCTACTAGCTGTATTGCGAGTAGGGGCACAATTTACTAATACTAAGTAATTTTTACTTAGTATTAGTAAATTAATAGGGGGTGGACCGAACATCGCATATGTTCGCCGTCGGTGGCGAACGCGAACACGCTATGTTCGCCGGGAACTATTCGCCAGCGAACCGTTCGGGACATCACTACTGATCAATGTCTCATTGCTATTTAGAACCAATATAAGCTTACAGTGTCAAGTCCTATGTTACTTTCCATTTCTTAAAGGTTACTGAAAACTCTACACCTGGAGGATCCATGTCACACTAACCAGGGATGAATTTCTACTCACGAGGGCTAAATTTTCACTTGCCAAGGGCTAGCAACGAGTCGAAATTTTTGAGCCCTGCTGTTAGAAACGTAGTTAACCTACCAATTTAGAACTAACGCCTCAATTTAATATTTTGGGATAAACTTTTCAAATTGTAAAAAATATTTTAAGTTTGATATTTTGATTTTTTTTGATATTTGACGATTTAAAATAATTTTTTTTTTAAAGTTTATCCACAAA